CTTGGACGCGCCAAGGTTACCTTTCCTACAGCCTCTGACCTCACTGTTGACTAAAGGAGTCACGCACAGTGATCCACTTAGCTGTAGAGTTGGGGAAAGCAAAGGCATCAGCTTCAGACTGGGATTTATTAATTATGTCAAATTACTTGCCAATTACTCGGCTCTTTGATGCATTCTACTTACTTCAATTGCTCACTATCTGGGATTATTGTAATAATCAGCAGCAAACTGCTTTCTGTGACTACTGGAAGATCAAAGATCAAATACTGATATCATTATAATAAGACATTAAAAGATATTTAATATGTGTTATGGTTATAATGTATAGTACTTTTTTATTTGAGAGAAATTTGTTCTGCAACTTTTGCCGTGAGCAGTAATGAAATTGCTGAATGCAGGCGGACATAGAGGATTATTGCAAGGGTGGCCAAGCTATGACCATTAACTATATTGGAGTCCTTCAGCTAGCAAAAATCTTTTTTCTGCTTGGCATAATGCTGCAGGAAAATCAGTCAACTTTTCAATCTTGTGCTCTTTTGACTTGATTGTGCCAACATGGCAGCCATGTACAAGTATTACTGAGGACTCATATAAAGTACTGCTTCTTTCTGCTGCTCCCTTATTCACAAACAGTCACCACAGCAGGTAACTCTGCGTGTTTAACCTCATAGATTTTTTTTTAACGATTGCCCCTCCTTGACTCTTTCTATCTTCTGCTGGATCTTTCACTTATTAGGTGAATGTGTTAACCTCTACACTATGAAGTCAGAAAAACTGCAGGCAGGCTGGCTTCACCATTTGTTGTGTTGATGGTTTTGTCACAGAGATGTGGCCCTTTAGTCTGTTTTGGCCACGGCCACATCTATCTATCTATCTATCTATCTATCTATCTATCTATCTATCTATCTATCTATCTATCTATCTATCTATCTATCTATCTATCTATCTATCTATCTATCTATCTATCTATTATATATCTCTATTTTAATTCTTACTGCACGTTTTTTTTTTTACATTATTTTTTACATTTACATGCTTAGACAGTTTGGCCAATATGCAAGTATATACTGGATGCAGCTCAGGTGTTAGTGGGTTGCTTACTATTGATCTACAGGATGATGACAATAAGGGGTGCAGCATATCAAAAGGTCCAAAGTACAACAGCTACACACAGCAAAGTGACACAGGGTGCCAGACGTGTTTACACAGTAATATCCTCTGCTTGCTTGTAGAAGCCACCTGTGTCCCTCAAGTCAAATGGTTCTTGGGTGACTCACCTTTTCCAAACAGCAAACAGCATCCATGAGTCACCCTATCATTCATTTGACACTTTTACATTGAAATTCAGTGGATGATAGACATCTAAGTTTATCCAAACTGCTTGATTATTTAACAGTTTGGAAACGATTGGTGAATACGAAAAGCAGTTGTGTCATTTCCTGAACTAAGCTCACAGACAAATTACATCTCACTCATCAATACGCTCATTATTTGACATCTCAGGTTGGATTACTGGTCATTAGGTTGATCATTGTTTGCATTGTACAAATTGTAACAAGCTTGCACGATGAAAATAATCGTTTCTCACTTGCACGTCAAACTGGCACTTTCTGCTTTTTTCTCTGTTCTTTCTGTTTTTTTCATCTAGGTCAGTTTTCAAACAGACACTGGCTTTGAAAGTCAGGCTCCCACACATCTCGCTCTTTCTCGCAGTCTCTCTTTCTCTTGCCTTGTCCTGATTATGATAATGCAGGGTAGAAAAACAGAATACATTCAAAGCGGCTGCACTGCTGAACATAGGGTCTTATCAAGGAGTACATACAATTATAGAGGCATAATGTGAGGTTAAAGGTTTCCAGGGAATACACGATGAAAAGTCTTTTTTTTTTCTGCAAGCTGTTACTTAGTGTATTGTAAAACTATAGAGCAGTACATTTTCAAAAAACAAAAGCACAAAGGTTGTTTCCATCTTTGAATTATTGATAATGTTTGGTTTCACTTTTTTTAAAAAGCCGGACCTTATTTCAAAGGTGATGTAAGCTGCAGTTCATCCACCCACCAGTTACATCAGAGGCTCTGGACTGAATGTAACAAAAGTGAGACAGGCACAGAACAGAGAGGTAAAAATTCAGTGCAGGGATTAGTGCAATAACAAATGATATTCAGTTTGAACGTGCCATTAAAAATGGAGTCAAAACTGGGTCAGGCTTTTCAATTTAAATAAAAGAACAAAGGAAATTTTTACTCTAAGGTCTGTGCAACTTTGGAAATAAAGCCTTTCTTATTGCTGCAATGCAACTCATGAATGCAGCAGCCGTGCACACTGGGAAATTGACAGTTATTGTTTGAGAGGAACGAAATTATTGGTTCAACAAAAATCTGACTGCAGAATAAAAACAAATTGTTCTAAATGAGACAGATGCGAGAGATAATCTCAAACTAAATTTGGTGTGCTTTTATTAAAGAGTACATATTCTGTTAATTGCTATATTTTTATTCCTGGACTCAGTTAAAATAGGTTTGCATGATCCACAGCTCAAAATAACCCATGCAAGAGTCTTGAGACTTTCTTTTAATTTTTAAGGTGCTCTTGAGCAATAGTTGTCCAACATCCAAACAAGATCTTTCGAGAAACCTGGAAAACTATTCCCAAAGACTACTTAATTACAAGAAAGAATTTGTCAGAGATTTTGAGGCTGTATTGAAGAATAAATGTGGTCATACCAAATATTGACTTTCAAGTTTGTTAAATAGAATAGTACAGTGTTAGAATTTAATGGTGTCTTCTGCAGACTTCATGTTTCAGAGTTCAAAGTAAACTTTACTTAAAAAAAGGTTCAGTTGCTTTGAATGATGCAGGCTCTGCAGCTCTGCAGTTAGCTTTTCATGTAGATTTTTAGTTAACTGTACATCACGCTGTTCTTTGTATTTCTCCAGACCAGCAGAGCGCTCGGGGGCAGATGTTGACATAATCCTGGCACGGCTGAAAAATGTGAAGGCCTTTGAGAGATTCCACCCCAGTTTGCTGCAGCAGATATGCCTGTGTGGATTTTACGAGTGCTTGGAGAAAGGCATCACCAGTAGGTGAAAGCTCTGAAACTAATCTGAGGACAAGACGGTGCATCTATTTTTATTTTATTTTCTCAAACTGTTTTTTTTTTCCCCCCAGTATTTCGACAAGGAGATATTGGCACGTGCTGGTATGCTGTTCTCTCAGGTTCGCTGGATGTAAAGGTGTCCGAGACATCAAGTTATCAGGTATAATTTCACGAGCATTACATAAAGCCCCAGATTAAAATGAAGGCTGATGAAGTAATTGATAATTAAAAGAAATCGCTCTCTTCTTTCATGCGTATCACACAAGATCACACTCATCTTAATCAATCTTAGCTTCACACACTAATGCTCCAAATTTACACCCAAAGCTGAATTACTCTGTCTGTGAAGATCTCTGTAATTTTGTAAGCAAAGCTCCACCTGAAATTCATCAGACTTGAAAAATAAAAGTTAGATGAGGGAATATTACTGACCATTTGTTAACAGTGGAACTTTGCACACCTTAGCCTATTTGTCTGGGTGCTTACTGGAGTGATATGTTTGTATCTTGTTGAGTGTATGGAGTGCTCAGGAGTTCTCCTTTAACCTTCGAGAGTTGTGCGATCGGCATAAATTCATTTGCTAAGAATATTACATTTGAACATCACAGCATTCTCATCTAGTTGAAAGTTTTTAATCCCAATGAAGGAATGATCTAAGAGGAATGTGTGTGATGTTGGTGTGTCTCATGTAGGATGCTGTTACTATATGCACACTGGGGACGGGAACGGCCTTTGGGGAGTCAATCCTGGATAACACTCCCCGACATGCTACCATCATTACACGGGAATTCAGTGAGCTCCTACGCATCGAGCAGAGGGAGTTTAGGTCTCTGTGGGAGGTATGTGCCTCGTTTTGCTCCGTCTATACTTGTTGCAGAGTACAGAAATTATCTGGGTCATTACGATTTGTGGCACATCTCAGATATCAAAGTCTCAAAGTAAGATTTGAAAATGCTATGGAATAAATGTGTCCATAGGAACTAACTTCTCTCATTTTAGTGATAAACAGAAAATTCAGACCGCTTTTGATCATTTGAAGACAAAGCAGCGCCTTATCAGCTGAGTGGGTAGCTCAAAGGCAGCACACGCTGGTTTCCAGTTATCATTTAATTTGTGAGTAACTGAGGGGGCTGCTTAAAGTCAGAGAACAGCCACCTGTCCTAGTCTGTTCTTGTTGCAGCTGAAATGTTAAATCTGAAAACTGTGACGAATTGAGCTGAGTAGGTGGTGTACACCACCTGTGGATCAGCGAAGGTTGGGTTATGAATTTATTGTTGGGCCTCTGGAGGAAAAATATGTCCAATTCTTTTACTGTAACCTTCTGCTAGTGCTCCGTCTGATTTTGACTTATGAGTGGTTGGTTTATCCCTTTTGACCACTAGATGGAAGTGTAGCTCTGAGGAGAAACTCTCTCTCCAGCCTTGTGTTTTCACTCACACTAGCATCATTTCAGCAGTCATTCAGTGTAAGTATAAAACTGGGCAGTAACATTCAGTATAAAACGTTTAAATACTTGTAAGAAATGACTTTGTTCTGTAAATTAAAGACAAACATAATGTTCATGGACCGCTTCAGTCAGAAATATCTCACTCGTCTTTCTGTCTCCTGCTACTGTGAGCTGGTGGGTGCCATGCTGTGTAGAAGTTCCTCTCGTCACTCACCCCCCCCTCAGCTGGGCTGGGTTCCTGAGAGAGAGACAGCCCATTTCCTTTGGGACCAAAGGGCATCAGCGGGTTAAGTTATAGGCTGTGTCTGTTCCAGCACACTGACCATCAGAAGCTGTGTGTGGCTGGATACTTTAATTTGGCTGTGTGTATGCTCACGCGGAAGTTCAACGGGGATACACATTTCACCTCTGCCCCCGGGCGACCTCTTCAGTTCGGTTCGTCTCAAATTAGATTTTCGAGCTTCTGTATCTGGTGTCCAGATTGTCTTATCTCACTCTTGGATCTTTCTGGTCTTGTTTGTTACTTAATATAAAGACTCACTGCAAAGTGATGGTGAAGATGCTGTTTGGCGCATGAAGATAAACAGATACTATTTTTTCGAGGCTTCTGATTTTTTTAAATTAATGAGTGTCTATATTTGGAAAGAGTTTCCCACAGCACCAGTTTCAAACTCAGGTTTGTGAAGGGCGTCACACCCATGATAGATGCATTCCTTAGATAATGGCACTGAAATGCTTTCTGCTCAACCTTGGTCCTCTTTGTTGCTTGTTTGACGGTCCATTCTTGTATTTTCTAACTAATAATATTACAGTATAAGTGTTTAAATCTAACTTTAAGACTTGGGCTTGTAAGTATTATTTTGCAGCATCACAGGTACAGCTGTTAAAAGGCAAGGATCTTACCAGGCACTTTTCTGAGTTCTCCAGTGCTCATTATGGTTTTAATGTGGTAAGTTTGCACATGTAATTTTGAGGCTTTTAAGAATTTTCTCAAGGTAATTGGTATTTTTGTATAGAACAAAAAGGATAATGGGTAGTTTAAAGTTGAAGCTCTCTAAATGAGATATGCCCTACGCTGAGATGTCTCCCGTCCTTGCAGTGTTTCTTGTACAGAACTTCATCTAAAAAAACAGAAAAGTGATTTACAGCATTAGCATCAATACATGGATCTTCTATTGTTAGATGTGCTGAGTTAGCCAGCCTGTACCTGAGCAGCACTGCGGTCAAAATTCACGCAATCGAGACAGATGATCATTTCTGTATTTTGCAGTTTGTTGGTCATACAAACAGTTCGCCTGAATGTTCTTCCAGGCATATGTGCTTATTTTTTTCCTCTTAGTTTTACTGCAGTGCTGAACGATTGTTTAAGGTGTATCTTGTTACTGGTGGCATCAGACATCAGACTGTGTGAGCCACTTCTGATGTGCTGTGGTGACTCTAAGTTTCCTGCGTGTCTTGATGGTTGCTTTTGCAGATAAAGCTCAGCTGCTTCACAGGGTCTTAATTTAAGCTGAATTGCATTCTGTGGTGCATGATGAATGTTAAGCTGCATGAGGTCAGTGTTCTTACTGCTTCCAGCCCCTGAAAGATTGGGTGAAAAGAAGAATACAGCTTGATTACAGCTAATGTGAGGAGATGGGAAAAGAGTGATGCTAAAGGAAATATATTACCTGCTCCGGTCTGAGTCAAAGGAAGCATTTAAACAAAGCTACACGCCTCCTCCTTCACCACCTCCTCCTCCACCACCTCCTCCTCCCTACAACACAGAACTGTCCCCTTGCCTTTGGCCAAGCAGTCTTAGAAAATTTTGCAAGAGTGAGAACAACACTAGCTTTATTTATGATTATACTCGTGAATAATTTAGTGTATTTTTTCTGTAGGTGTTTCAACCTTCTGTTTGGAATAATACAGTAAATAAAAGAATTACAGAGAGGTGACAAATTGGATAAACGTAACATACTAAATGCATTTGGGAAAATACTTTGACGTGCCTTAGCACGTTGATTCTTCAAGTCTCCGGAAGTCACTTGGAGTTATAAAGTACACTCACCGTTCACCATTTTTCCATTAGAAGTGCCTCAATTCTTTGTGGAATAGATTCAACAGGGTGCTGGAAACATTCTTCAGAGACTGTGGTCCATATTGATATGATAGCATCACAAGGTTACACCACCTTTGTTGCCTTCAAATCTATTACATGACATGTTATCCTGCCTAAAAACCACTTATATAAGGCATGATGGATCCATGCTTTCATGTTGTTTACACCAAATCTTTACCCTGCCACCCACTGCATCAGAACTCGACACAGTGTGCCAATTTTGGCTTCAGTTGTCTGTTTACAGCTGACAGGTGTGGCACCTGGTATGGTCTTCTGCTGCTGTGGCCCATCTGCTTCAGTGTTTCATGTGTTGATTATTCAGGGATGCTCCTCTGTATACCTTGGTTGTAATGATTGGTTGTTTGTATTACTGTTGTCTTCGTCTCAGCTTGAAGCAGTCTGGCCATTCTTCTCTAACATCTGATATCAACAAGAGTTCTCCTAGAGAACTGCTGCTCAGTCACTGGATATTTTCTCTCTTTCAGACCATTCTCTGTAAATCTTAGAGATTGTTGTGAAGGAAAATCCCAGGAGATCAGCAGTTTCTGAAACTCTCAGACCAAGTCGTCTAGGACCAACAACTGTCACACATTTAGTGTCACTTGACCCACCTTTTGCCCCCATCCTTGACCATGTCTACATTCGCAAATCTAATGAGTCGCCTCCAAATTTGAAAGTCGCAGTAAGGAGCAGTTGAACAGATATACCTAATAAAGTGGCTGGTAAATATATATTATCTCAATTGGTGTTTTGATGATGGTTGTCTTGTGAAATGGTCTTTCAGATGATGATAAATTACGTCAACATCTGGTCCACAGGGGGTCAAAGGTTCAGGTTTCGTCCTTTCATTTTCACCATTTTCACCAGTTCATATAAATAAAGGTTTTCTACACTAATGTTAACAAGACACTTTGCTCCATATTTGTTCCTTAAAATGTTGTATGTCTTGGTGTATGACATCTATGCATATTAAAGCCTGAGCGCCTATGCGTGCAATTTTAATATTTATGTTCTTATGCTGAATCGTCCGAGCACCGAGAGCGCCTTTCATGTAGCTCGGCACGTGACAGAAGCTGTCCGTGTGCTTGTTTGTTTAACATAGCAGACATGAGCCAAGCTCAGCATACACAGGGAGGCTGACTGAAGCATAGACGGCCTGGTCATCAGCTTACTCTTTACTTTGTTTCCTGCTTCCGATGGCCACTGTGATTGAAACAACACAATTGTAATTTGTGCTTGTTGGGTGGCAAGGCGGCTGTATTACAATCACATCAGCCTGGGGGCCGCCTGGATGGGAGGCTTTGTTATCTTCTATCAGATCTGACAAAGGGAGTTTTATAGGCATGTGCACACTCAACATATAGTATATTGAGTAAAATGGAATTACAGATGCTTATATGCGTAGTGTTTTCATCCTTAGGGCAGGTCTGTTGGTTGCTGAGCCCAGCAGGGAGGTTGGTATGTCAGTATCATCAGTCTATAGAAGCAACCCGGTGTGCAACCCGTGGAAAAAAGTGATGAATAGGAAGTGGCAGGGATGCAACATGCCCTCTAGAGTCTGAGGACTGGGTAAGGGGGAGGTTGGAAAAATCAGGCCACATATATCCTCTGATAGGAGCGGTCGGTGGATACGTGCAACGAAAGGGCAGGAAGATTGTATCAACATCGTATAATTGCCTTATCTCCGCCCAGAGTTGTTACATCATTGTAAGCCTGCAACATGAATTTCTGTAAAATAAAACAGCACCTGTGAAGCTGCAGCTGCCCTTGCTGATCTTTGTAATCCTATTCAGCTAGACTAGAAGAATTGCTCCGTGGATAGCAATGTGGCTGACTGACTCATCACAGTCATTGTGTCAAGAGGATGAACCCTGTTGACTTTGTTGACACACGTTTATTTTTTATTTTTTTACGGCAAACCAGATTTTACAACCAACTATGATAACACTGCCAGCATGGCTGCTTATTTTTCTTAATTCACAAAAACAGAGCCAAATTGCAAGGCAGAGTAATGCAACCAGCGTCCCCGACCTCAGTTAAGCTTGCAAGTTAAGGCACATAGTCATACAGGTCAAATTTGTGACACGAGAGGAAAATAAGAAAAATGGGATATCTTCTTCTTCCACTGTCTTCATCAGCTACAAAAGATAATTTATGCTATTGCCTGTTCAGTACAAGCCTGTATTAATTCAAATTCAAGATTGTTAAATCAAAATATGATTTCATTTGCAAAATTCTCTTGAAGTTGTTGCAGAATCTAGGCCCCTTATTGTTCTCTCGGCTGGATGTGACAGGCTGTCAGATTTGACAGTGACACACTCACCTACACCTGTGTGATCAGTGTGTGTTTCAGCACCTTCTCTCATTAGTAATCCCATTTTCTTCTCTGTCTTAGATCAATAGCTGTAGAAACTGAATAACTATTTAAATTTGTAGGTATTTTCATATTGTCTTATGTTGAGAAATTAGAATGTAAATGACAAAATACTTAATAAATAAGTAAAATGACTCTCGGTTGTTTTTGATGGATTAAGAGAGATAAGACATGTGATGTGACTAATTAATAATTAAAATATTTTTAAAATAAATAAACATCCATTAGATGACACTTGGTGTAGTATTTTGCTTTCTGGCTTCTTTTACTTTCTACTTTTTCACTTTGCTGATGATATATTCTTTGTATACACTCCCTGACAATGTCATTAGTTATACCTTGCTTCATTAGTTAATGGGGACTCTCTTTTAACTTCATGCTTTAAATATTTGTAGCATAGATTCATCAACGTGCTGGAAACATTCTTCAGAGATTTTGATCTATATTGGCATCATAGCATTACACAGTTGCTACAGATTTGTCTTTTGCACAATTTGAATACAGTTAACTCTAGGTCATGTTTGCGTCAATCAATCTCAGGTATGATTTAGGCTCAAAATGTGCCCTAAAGAATATAAGGCAGGATGGATCTGTGCTTCGATGTTGTTCATGACAAATTCTGACCACACCCTAAAGGAGACATCCCAGATTGGGACCTTCTAAAAATTCGATTTAAACTTCAGCAGGTCATCTTAATCGTGTTGTTGAGTTGCTGCCATGTGGTTGACTGATCAGATATTTGTGTTAACAAATAATTGAACAGGTGTATCTAATGAAGTGGCCAGTGAGCATATAGGTTAAACACTTAATAGTGTGAATCATCACCTCCAGGAATCCAATATGGCTGTCTTGTGGCTCCGATAAGTAACAAAGTCAGAGATAAGATTCAGATTTTCTCTGTTCTTGAAAGGGACATTGATATGAATTTAAATCTTTATGTATCTCTACTACCGCAAATATGAAGCTAGTATTGGGTTATTTTGATAAGTTACACCGGGAAATACGCAAAACAACATTTTTTTTCCTTTTCGAAAAAACACAACACAACTGATTGGTTCAGTGTCTGTGCTGCACAGTTTTTATGTACTTCTTCAGCCTTTTATAAGACACACATAAGTTCTGGAAATGCAATAAAAACAACTCATTAACTGTCAACTCACACATTTTTAATGTCATATGTCAGACAACCATAAAAAGGCAAAATACAAAAATGAGCAGCGTTTTAACTCTGTTTTAACTGCAAAAAGCTTTTGTTTTATGAGACAGCACAGCTGTACTGAGTCATATTCTGTTTAAAGATTGGCACAATTTTTCAGTGGAAAATTAAAATGCACTAAACTGGAAACACTGAACTGTTTTATATTACTTATTGGGTGTAGCTCAGCAGCCTATGCTACTCATTCAGCATGTACTACCTATGTATTTTTAATTAAAGTTTTTCTTTATATTGTATTCATCGCTTCTTGGTATTCTAAAGTATTTTTCAACCATTTCCCTGTTTAATTTCTTAATATTGATTGAAGTATATTGAAGTATATACTTCAATATATACTGGCAGATGTCAAACACCTGACAAACTAGAAGCAGGGTGGTACTTTTCCAAGTATAACACATAATGTGCAAAGCCACAAGACTTTTTCTGTCTGCAGATGAAAACATCCAAACATCCAAATATCAGTTTTTAGACTTTACTTGAAATAAAAATCAAACCACAATTCAGCTTTGATTGGCACATCTGCAGTCATTGCAGTCAGTTTTATCTTCCTGAACATTAGTCTTCGCATCCTGTCTGTGACTGGCCTCCCTTCGCTTTTGCTCTTGCTTTATGAAGGTGGCCATGCTGAAAATGAGCAGGATTGTGTGAATAGATAAGCTTGAGCTTGTGACAGAGAGAGGGAGAGAGAGGGAGAGATTGAGCATGCTCTCCCGTGTGCTCGGTGACTGGAGTTGAGTAATCACCTAGCAACTGCTGCTCAGAAGAAGTCAGCAGCTGACTGGCACACTGCTGAGCTCTCCGGCTGAGACGGTCTGCTCGCACTGCTCTGAGAGCAGTTTGAGGGCGTTGCTGGATCCTGCTGGACCATGCTGACTGTGACCTGCGACAGACTGCTTGATACCCTGGAAATCTTAAAATCAGACATACATGCTTGGAGTGTTTGCCAACATCTGGATTAAGAGAGCGTGGCGAAGCTTTCAGTAGCAGGCTGCATGGGACTCTGGTAGCATCTTTAGGTAACATTTGCAAAGCTTTCCAGCGATCAAATTGATTTGTTGCATTTGAAACAAAATGTAGAAATGAAAAATGCTTCATAGAAATTTATCTTTCTAGTTGCAGGATAGTTACCTTGTAATTCACGGAGCAAATTTAGATATATGAGGATAACCTGAATGCTCAGTTTAAAAGCTTAAATTTACTTTTTTCAGTCCTACCTCATGGTTTGAATTTAGTTAGGAAGAAAATCTATAACTGTAGAAATGAAGCTCTTTTCCCTAAATGGTTTCCCTTTAACTCAAAGCATCCCTATAAATATTCAGAATAACTGCTGAATACTTTCAGAACAGTTTGCACTACGTTTGCTTATGTAATCTCTCGTGAATTATTCAAAATACAGGCGTGCATTCATGCACGGTGATGCTCACAACGCAGTAACGTACTCAAGCGTGAAAGACCGTGAAGGAACTTGAACTGAGACTGCACTGAGATGACCCGGTTAATAGCTTCACTGATCTGCTGTTATGACATAGATAATATAAAACATATATGTCATCTCTTTAAAGTACACCACCTTTGTGCATTAGATGCTTATTTTGCAATTTTCATATCACGGTGACAGTTTTTTCAGTTGTTTAATGCATATGGAAAAACATAAAATGACATATGATAAGAGAACAGGGCACATCCAGGCTTATTCATTTGATCTTTCAGACGCCACTATACTTACACGCTCCTAGCTAACATGACGCTTACAGCATTACGTGGCTCGTCTGTCAGTTTGAACCGTGTTTTTGGATGGTTGTGACCTTTTCTGGTTGAATCCTTCCTAATAAATTAAGATGAGCAAATGGAAATCTAAATTTTGGCCCTTTAAAAAAAAGTCAGATGTGCACTAATGACTGTCAGTGTTTGTTACTGCACAACAAGCAATCACCAAGGGTGATATTAGATATTACACTTACACAAAATAACAAAAAAATAAAAGTAGTGATCCTCTCTGAGAGATTATGATGCAAAATTAATTAAAAAATCTTGACTTTCACTATTGTTAATCTGTGGTATTGCTCAGAAGTGCAAGATTACCTTGTCTGTTGAAATCTGCTCACTTTTAGTCTCTATAGAGTGAATGTGGACAAACATTACATTTGAACCTTTTGTTTTCAGAAATTTCAGGAACATAGTTTTTTATTATTTATAATTCTTTGAACTTCATCCTTTGTTCTGGGTTCAGCTTTGAAGATGCTACTTCAAATGAGTAAATTCATATTTTTAAAGCATGTTTATACCTCATTTCTATACTTCAGGTTGAAAAGGGGACCTTTTTAAGCTGCTCTTTGAGTTGAACTTTTTAGATCTATTATCTATAGTTCTGCTTTTACTCCGAGCGTTCGACTCCAACGACGAGCTTTTTCTCATTGCAATTGTTTAAAATATTTATGAAATATAGAGTTTTTGCACAAAGGTAAAAACCAAACTTAACAGTAAGTGAAATGCAATTGTAAAAATGAATAGAAAAAAATGGATGAAAACAATATTCCCATGTTGAATTTACACCACAGTGTCTTGGATGAAAGTCCTATTTCACCATGTTTGATGTCCAAAACTGTAAATAATTGTAAATAATAATTTCATGACGTGTTGGTCTGCTCTATTATCAGTTTAAACAGCATCATTCTTAGTTTTGAAGTATTTGTAAAATTACTGATCTGCTTTAAGCAAAAGTTCATGAATTTAGTCATGGAAATAAAACAGTCATTCATTTGGATAAAGGGTTGAATCAAAAACTGTGGGCTGACTAATCCATTGTGCTTGCTGACTTAATGACAAACTGTGAAGGATAATTTGATTTGCATATCTTATTTGGTCTTTCTAATTGATGCTTTGCACATTATGCTGTCAGAATCAGCTCAAGTACAAGTGTGGATGTTATTTTCCAAACTGCTTGTGAGTCCTGATACGGACTCTGTGTTAAAAACTTGAACCAGTACATTCTCCCTTCCTAAAGATACTTTCACACGACCATCATCAGGGTTCACAGAAAATGGACTTAAAAGAGAAAACATCCAGTGAGCAGCTATTCTCTGGGTAAAAATAGATTGGTGATGTCACAGGTCAAAGGCGAATTGATAAAATGCTTACAGCTGTTATAACACTTGCCAGCAACACTTGTTACAACCAACGTATGCAGAACATCATCTCTGAAAGCAGAACACATTGAAAATGAGAAAATGAGAAAAAACATTTGTTGTCAACAACATGAAAGGTGGTTCATGTTCACTTTGTGGTGTAATTGCTGTGGATAGTGTAGTGCTGTATGCGCCCCTGAGTGCCAATCAAGCATCATTTTTTTTTCAATGCAATTCAGTTTTATTTATACAGCACCAAATCACAACAGTCGCATCAATGCACTTTATATTGTAAAGTAGACCCTACAATAATACATACAGAGAAAAACCAAAGGATCTCTTTCCCACTCTGAGCAAGCACTTTGGCGACAGTGGGAAGGAAAAACTCAGTTTTAACAAGAAGAAATTTCCGGCAACGGATGTATCGCCAGATATGTTATTTATTTGTTTATTTATTTATTTGTTTTTGCCTGTCCTGTTTGGCTCTTTTGCCATCAGAATTATTGTCTAAAGGCAAAGAAAAATGTCCAACAGATTTACTTTACCAAATCGACCAACCCAGCCTTGCCGTATTGGTCTATTTGATTCGCCTTTTATTGTTTATTTTATTTTAACCTGCTAAATACGGGACATACTTGACTGGGGAAAAGAAAGAGAGGAATCAATCAAGCATCATTTAAAGGCCAAAGGCTACCTGAGTATTGTTAGTGTCCATGTTGTCATGGTTGAAAGATTTCTGGATCCAAGTTATCTACCAAAGTTAAGGACTTTAATTATAATAAATGATCAAAAAGGCTGAATCGAAGTTGGCTCTAAATTCAGTCTTAGGAATAAGGTAATGTCTGAGAGGCACAGTTAGACTGGGCAGGTATGGCTGAGTAGGGCTACTGCGAGTTTGGTGAGTTTGATGAGTCTGGCAGACCACAGAGCAGCAGATGCTGTTGCTATTTTATTGAGAAATAAATATTTGAATTAGCATTTCAGAGGAGCATTCCCGGCACATTTAGACATCTTAATAAACAAGCCTCATAAAATGTCAGAAATGACTTTTGTGCCAAATCTACTTATCAAAGTAATTGTAGTATAGCTGCAGTTTGAACCAGTCTAGCTGATCTGCGAGCTGATTTGATGCTCTAATAATCTTCTAATCTGGATGAAAGCAATAAAGGCCAGTGAGTGAATAATCAGACTGATTCATTTCAGTTAAGCAGCAGTTTGAAATTTCAGGAAGTACGCCTCGACGAGATTGTTGCCTCTCTAATGTCTGGCTTATAAATGCTAATTTTCTCCAGAAGATACCGACTAGATTGTTTTATGTTGTGTTTTTATACATTAAAAATATAACTGTCTAACTATTTGTTTAACTTGTTACAAAGGAATAAGAAATGTCCGTTTTGAATGTTCCCTTTGCAGTATGGTAAACGAATCTGCATGAAGCTTTACTATTTCTTAAAAGAGCGTAAACATGAGAGTATGGATTTTTAAAAGCAAAACCACAACTAACTGTTATTACTATTTGATGCATTTACAAAAAAGAAAAAAAATACATTTATTAAATAAAAGAAAATGATATACATTTTGAACTAATTTTCTCATCCGAGACTTTTATGAAAAAACGAACATGTTTTTTTTCCATTTAATATACCATCAAACCAGAGGAAACTGAGTGAAGAATGATGATAAAAAATGACATCCGAGTGAGAAACTTCTTTTTTAATGACTTAAAAGATTTTATTATTACATGCCTGATGTTTTAAAATAAAACAAAGACAGTTTTTATACAGGCAAAAGGTTAGACAGTCCTGAAAACATGGCAGGTTACAGTGAGCTGGTATTAAAACAATTCCCTGCAGAAAATATCGTGTTGTGTATCACAAGAGTCAAAGACGTCATTACGAATAAAATAGAAACTGATTGCTTTTTACACACCTGACAGCGGTGCTAATCCCCCTCGAAAACAACGCTCCTATCCCATCTGCTGCATTCAGTCCCTCAGGGAGCATGGCTTTACTGGCTCAGAGGGATTGAGTTCATTTGTTCATGCGTGCCTCAGTTTAATCCTAAATCCTTTAATTGTCAGCCAAGATTGATAGAATTGCCGGACTCTGACTGAATCACTGCTTTTGCATTGATTAATTTAAAATTAAATATCTTGTTTTGCATGTTCACAGCAGGCACATTATCAAAATCGGAGCTTGGAGAGCTTATATCTTTTAGTATCTTGGTGAGCAACAAGTCAAGTTACAACCTGAGGCCACTGAGGTATATCTAAAAGGCTTGAGGGAAAAGGTTGTGTGCCACTGAGGGCTTGCTTAAGTGATTAACTGACTTCAGAGTGCAGAATTGAGTTTAAAGCATAACCTCTGAGTACGCTGCCATCAGAGGAACAAAGGCCTCTAGAGTTCTTGCCTTCATTCAGTCTCCACTGACCAGAAGATAGGATGGTGGGGAAAATTGGTCTGGCACTAAGTGGTCCTCAATCAGCTTTTTATTGACCTATTACGCAGTGGCTGCAGCACATAATCAGTTTTTGTTTGTCTTTCACCCCATATTAATCTTGAGTTGTCAATCTACTTGGCAAATTCCTATTAAGAAAATATAATTTTAACAATCAGCTGTGTTGGAGTGATGTATTTATGTATGCAGATCTCGTTATTTGATTGACAAAGTTTAAAATACGATAACAAATGCACACTCACTCAATGCTTTATTATTTGTACCTTTTTAGTACCAGTTCAACCCAATTCTGTCTTCAGATATGCTTTAGTTTTTTGTGGAACAACAAAGAAACATTCCTCAGAGATTTTCAGATATGCAGATTCTTCAGCTGCATGTCCATGATGAGAATCTACCACATCCCAAAGGTGCTCTATTGAAGCTCCGCTGACTATGGAGGTGACTCGCATACAGTGAAATCATTGTCATATTCAAAAATAAAGCCTGAGTTAATCTGAATTTTGTGGCACATTAACCTGGTGCAAGCAGCCATCAGAAGGTATACACTGTGTATGGACCTGGTGTGGTCTTCTGCTGTACTTTCAGAGATGTTCTTCTGCATACATTGCATGTTAAAAATGGTTATTTGAATTACTGCTGCCTTCCTATCAGTTCAAAGCAGAACTGTTGCTCACTGAATCTTTTCTCTTTTTAGACTATTATCTTTAAAGTCTAGAGGTGGTTGTGTGGGAAAATCCCATCAGATCAGCAGTTTCTGGAGTTTCAGCCCGTCTTCCGACAACAATCACGGCATGTGCAAAGTTCCTTAAATCCCATTTCTTCCCCATTGAAATGCTCAGATTGTACTTTAGCCGGTCACCTTGACCATGTCTACATGCCTAAATGCATCAAGCTACTGCTGTGTGACTGGCTAAGTGTACGTTATTAAAAGGTAGTTGTCTGTACCATCTAACTATACTTTACTTCCAAAGCTAGCTGAACACATTTTGTACAGTAATATGCTGCTAAGAAAACAGTGTTAGTTTAAAAATCACAGAAATAATTTGGAATTAAATGGTATTCTATGCATCTTTTTAGTGTTTTTTATTCCTGAATTTGAAAACAAAAACCTGTCTCGCTGGTTACTGTTGGAGTGCCCTATTAGTGCTCCAGTGTCACAAACATTGCATTTGTAAGTGCACGGGTGCAGTATGATGTTCATTGTGTAATATCTGTGCTGCCTCAGGACACAATTATGGTGCGAGGGAAGTACACTTGTATTGTCTTGCTGTGCTTGTTCTGTGGCTCTCTGCAGTTGGAACAGCATTAATGGACATGTACTTAGTGGCAAAAAGAAATATGCAACATACAGGAGGTATTTGTATGGGGTTTTCCCCTATTTTTAATAATTATGCACTGAACCGTTCTTACATTTGCGTGTTAGGACTAATAAGAATGAAATATCATCAGACACCCGAAACCCTCATTGACTTTTTATTTTATCCACACAGCCTAGAGACAAGTGATGACAGTGGGGGTGATTTCTATTCCTCTTGTGCTGCCTTTGTTAGACGACACATTAATGAGAGGCAGAGATGGGAAATGCTGGAAAAGAGGGAGCTAAAGAAGTATAGATTTTTGAGTCCTAGAGTGATTCCTGAGACACATTTAAGTATTTTTCCAGTTATTGTGATCTTTTTGCTGCCATAGATCATCAGCCATCTTGATGAGTCAGAAGCAGCTAAATAAAGGCCATCGAGAGTATATTTTAATTTCAGTTTTGGTGTAATAATGATGGATTGACTCCACCTGTATGCATTTATTTGATTCCTATTGATACATATTATATATATATATATATTATACAATTTACTTTACATTAAACATTATTTTATTTACAAGTGTAACTGGTATGTGCTTTTATTTTTATAGAAATATCATCACTGTATGGCTGGACTACTCGCCCCACCCTATGGTGTCATGGAAAGCGGTTGTAACGCAGACAGTAAGTGACCTCGTTTGGACCTAACAACTATATATTTCATTCCTAACTTTGTCAGTTATTATTAGCAGTTACGCCATCATAATCAACAAATGCCTCAAAATCACAGCCTGTCCTGTGATTTTGAAGCGTTCACTGAACATTGCATAAAATTTCATGCTAACATTCAACTGTAAAATGTCGCAGTGCTGATGCTCCGACACGTTTAAACACAGTAGCTTGTACAGATGGTTATAGTCTTAAAAGCTTGTGGATTTGTTTTACTTTCAGCAGCTTTTATGTCACAAATGATAAAACATTTTTGTGGCCGACGGTGTAGAGAGACAGGAAATGTAGAGAAAGGGCGCCTCCGTTTCACTAAATGAAATGGAGCAAGAGTACAGGCAGAAAAAAAGTACTCACTGCTGATGTGCTTCCTAATTGCTCGGCTGTCATGCCGTCCTCAAGTTGATTCAGTTTACTTCAGTGTTAGTATGTTGATTGTCTTCAGATTTTATCAAGATGAAGAAGAAATTCTTCATTTTACAGTAAATGGCTCCTCTGACTTTATAAATGTTTTTACAAACAACCAATTTTTCTGCTCCTACGAATAAAAAGGATCTTTTATTGTATTTCTTTCTGACTAACTCCATTACTGTTGGAACCTCTGGCATTGTGTCGAGGCTGATACTATCATTTCTGCTTTTCTGTTGCAACCTAACTTGATATTGACTTTGCTCTGCTCAAACAGAGCACTTAACTTGCTTCAAAGTCACGTATCATAAAAATGATGAACGGCAGTCCATAAATCCATAGTCTGCTGGTTTACCAACACTGGGGTCACTGTCTATTGTTATGTATTTTTAATGATGATGGACATATTTTAAAGAAAATGCTTTTTAAAGATTTTCCTGTAAAGAACTCCCAGCCTCAAACTTACAGTCCCTAAAGGTAAGATTTTATTAACTACTGTAGCTTTTAAAAGTGGATGTGCCTTTTTGGTTGCTGCATGCTTTGCTGCAGCAATATAAGAGCTGGGGTTTGAGTATTTTGCAGCATAGAGTTGAGTACTGAGGGGTTTTATAGCCTGAACTCGATGCACGGATGCAGAAAGACATAAGTCACACAAGCACCGGCGGCTCGAGGCTGAAGCACTCTCCTGTGCAGAGGCTCAGCCGCTTTGTTACTGTCACAGCAAATCAAATGAATTAAACATGTTTTAAACTGTTTTCTTACAGTGCGCTTTTAAATCACTTTGTTATTAACAGGTCAGCATTGTTTCCTTCACTCCAGTCATGCACTCCACCTAAGCATGCATTTGTTTGGCCACCACAATGGAAAATATTTCTGCTCAGAAACAGCATTTTTCTTTCCTGGCAAATGACTAACACTTGGTTTAACTTTCACTTTACTCTACATTCCTGGATGAATGAACGGACTGATATCACAGCTTTGCAAACAGAATGATGGGCAGATGTGTTAACTTCTGTAAACATGCACAAATTCTATACAAACACATAACATGAAAAATATAATTCATACTAAAACCGTGCAAGGCTGGTACATGTCTTTAATGTTAGCATGAAATGCAATGACCCTCTCTGCTGCTGAAGCTTTCAATAAAATGCAGAAATCCTCCGGGCTGAACCACGTATACAGTAGGTTATATAAGATGTTTGTGCTTTCAGTGTTTTTCACTCTTTTTTGCACTTGTGGTGAGGAGAACTTTGGGGAAATTTATTTTTTTAAGGATTAATATTAAACAGAAACCATGATGTCAACTGTAAAAGCAACTATGTATGGAGTTTTTTCACAAAATGTTAGGATGTAAACATTTTTCCATCCTGTACTAAAAGTGAGTACTTTTATTTTTATTTTTGACAGTTGTTTGCACGCTGGCAGTAGAGCAGATCAAATGTAGAAAGAAATGAAACAATGAGATACAATTTTAGGCATGTAGATATTTTCAAGACATCTTTGAACGTGGTTTGGTTGTTGGTTCTTGACAGGCTGGTTGGAGTATTTCAGAACACAACTTACAGTATTGGTTTACAGAGAATGGTCAGAAGAAGAGCGGGAGTTCTCTTCGTAAATATGCCTTGTTGAAGCCAAAGGTCAGAGAAACATGGCCAGACTACTTCAAGCTGATTTAAAGGCAAGAGTAACTCAATTAACCATGTGTTACAACCAAGGTTTGCAGAAGAGCAACTCTGCATATGTAACACATTGAACACAGAAGCAGATGGGCTGCAGCGGCAGAAGACCACAGTGGTGCCACTCCTGTCAGCTGAGAACAGGAAACTGAAGCTACAGTTTGCACAGTGTCACCAAAACTGGAAAAACACCAAAGATGTCCAGCTGAGAAATCTGCAGCAACTATGTGATGTTATTGTGTCAATATGAGCCAAAATCAGCACCTTGTTGAATGTATGCCATGAGTAATGAAGGCACTTCTGAAGTCAGGGTGGTCCAACAAAAAGAAATAGTATGAAGAAAGTGTAGTAATGCAGGCCAACATAGTCTGACATTCAAACCACTGACAGTTATTCTACAGAGTCTATGGAGGAACCTAATTATTCAGCATAAAAAAAATGACCATTGAATAGTCTAAGGAGCTTGGAAAGAAAAGCGTCTGGACTTCTTTGAGTTGCTTGAAGACGTTTCACCTCATTCTTCAGAAGCTTCTCGGATGAGAGGAGGTGGAGGTGACTGAGAACCTTCACACCACCACTGAATATTCAGGATGCAATTTTTAATTAAAAAATTCTAACAGAACATGTACAGTATATGCAACTTTTTTGTTTTCAAGGATTAGTTGATTTTTGTTATAGTAAATTTGAGTCCCCTGTAAAGCTTCTTGTGTGTGTGTTTTACTTATAACTTTAGCGGACATCTCAGTGATTATAAAGTCTTTTTTTCTCTGCAGCTTTGCAGGATCTTTACAGATCCTTCATGACTAACATACATCCTCTGTTTTTCCCCACCAGGACTGCCTGACAAAGAGAACATAAGCAACAACTCGTTTGTTGTCTCCAAACCTCTGAATAAGGTAATTCCTCTGTCTCTATTTAGGATGAAACCTTTTCATTTTATGAGGCCGCAAGAGCATCCTGTACTGTTGCTCACCTCCTCAGTGGGGCACAGAAATAAGTGTGGAATGTGAAGTTTGTTTAAAGTTGCTCTAAATATAAACACAGTACTGGATTTTTCGTCTCCATCCCGAACAGTTCCTGTCCCCTCTCCTGCTGTCATTTCCTGACCACTGAGTTGATAACGCTGCACTACAGCAGATTTATGGAGCTGCATGCGTTGTTCACTTATGGAGTTTAGCCACATCACAATCGCTCTCTTACACAAAAAGAGAAACTGAAAGTGTGCATTCTTGTTATGTAACCGACAAAGACAGAATTAATTTACTATAACATATATAAATAAGCCCAGTTTCTTTGGCAACTGAGTGGTCTAATGTCTTGTAAATAAATGATGAGGCTTTAAAGCTTTCACATAAATGCATGACTTGCACTGCTCTCTGAAGCATTCAGAATGCATTTTAAATGTCAAAGGCCTGCAGCCCACCCCATGGCCATCCTCAGCTGGAAAAATCAAAAACAACAACAACAACAACAACAACAACAAAAAAGCACTCCCAGACTGTAATTCACAGTATCTGTGTCCCATTAAAGCAACTGAATGCATCAGTCAAGACTCTGCTAACGGAACGGTATGGAAAGAAATAAAAATCAAATTTGAATGCAATAAAATCATAATGTCAGCTGTGAGTCATGCAGTAACAGCGAGGATGAGATCCTGTGGCCCCACAGTGAGAAGAAAAACATCAGACCGGACTTGTCTCTCTGACACATTGTTTCTTCCCCGATGTATTTTATCGCAAATTACTGGACTGTTTTGTTCTTTGGCGAACCTTCAGTTTTACCCACTTTGTGAGATTCAGTGTAATGCCATCAGTAGATCCTGAGTTTCAGTGTCATGCATGAGGCATTTTATTTCACCTCCTCTCATTTTTTTTTTTTTTATGTTTCACTTTATTTTGCAGAAGTCATTCATTCAAAGTCCAGCCAAACCCCACCCTAAATGCTTTTCTCAGGTAGTAAACACAATCACTGCACTCAGTTAGACTCCACAGTGTGCTGAGATTTAACTGAAATTCTACCGTGCAGGTCCCCTCCGAGAAGATCCTCCGTGCAGGGCAGATTCTCCGGAACGCCATCCTCTCCAGGGCGCCTCACATGATCAGAGACAGGAAGTACCATTTGAAGACGTACAGGTTAGTTCAATAAGGAGAGATCATTAGACAGAGATGAACATGATTTATTGATGCAGAGAATTTAGATAGAGGTATTTGGTGGTTAGACTTCAACAGAAGCCCAGCGGTGATAGGGAATAGAGCAGGACCCCCCCGGGTTTAGACGCTGGTGGTGGAGATGATTTAAGATTTAAAGTAGACGGTGTGAATTAGCCTGAAGAAGGCTGGGAGAAAGATGATTGGACTAGACCAATGATGTCACAAACAGCTTGATGGCATGGGAAAGTGGAAGTGATGTGAAGCTTAGATTTAGCTGGCAACACCTGGGAACAGAAAGATGTGAGACCCCTTATTGAACTTATGCATAAGCTTCATTTGGCACCCCTTTCTTTTTAATGGAAACACTCAAGCAAAGTGTATTCATTAATTTTTTTCTATTTTTATCACTCTCTAAAAGCAAAGAAAGCAGTTGAAGAACATTAAGGATTTATGCCAGTATCCAACATCAAAAGCTGGGATGTGTGGGATGAACTTTGGCCAGTGTCACATGGTTTAGTATGGTGTTTTGCCTGAGTAGAGCTGACAGCTATTGGACTGAGGAGCTTCACCAGGTAATGTCCAGAGGAGATCAGGGTTGTTGTGCAGGTGTGAAAACACTTCATGGTAAAATCTCAAAACTCTAATCTGCATTGTAACCAGAGGGGCACAGATGAAAACCCAGCCAGTGGGTGGCCATCGGTTCTCTTCCGGTACTCGAGCTTCCTCCCACAGTCCCACAGTTATTTTGGTGATTCTAAATAGCCCATAGGTGGGAGAGTGAGTGTGAATAGTTGTTTTTCTCTCTGTGTTAGCCCCGTGATAGACTGCCAACCTGCCTCTCCCCTCAGTAACAGCTAGGATAGGCTCCACTACATGTTCTGGAGCTTTTTTTGGACTGACAGGTGCAAAAAGGGCAGTAAACACACTTTTTGCTTCTACTGCTTTAGAGTAAATGGCAGCCAGGTAGATTTATCTGGTGAGAGCTAAAAGGTGAGTAAATATCATTAGTGGATTCAAAGAAATGATAGTGTTGAACTGTGTTTGCCTGATGTGTAAATGTAAAGGTTCACCACGTCTTAGTGTTGCATTTATAGTTTGTAGTCAATCATCAGTTATATTTATTTTAAGAAATCTTCATAATTTTGTTTGTTATGAAGACATTAAATGTATTCACATAATATTCAATTTTATTTACCACATCTATCAGTACAGGCTGTAGACAGCGGCTGAATATAAAAGCTCTTTTATAGCAAAGCCCTGTTTGCACTTCAAGAGAATAAAATATAACAGCAGAAAATCATGAAAAAGGAAATCAGTTCATAAAACACAGAACAAACAGAAAATCAAAGTGATCTCAGCCATGTAGGAGCTCATATAGGCATTTGTCTTTCCTAGGCGGTGTTGTGTGGGGACAGAACTGGTTGACTGGCAATTGCAGCAGAGCTCATGTGTCCACTCTCGCGTTCAGGCTGTAGGCATGTGGCAGGTGCTGCTGGAAGAAGGTGTTCTCAACCACGGTGAGGCTCTGCGTGATGTGTGTCTGCACGTGTGCAGCGCGCGACCCAGTGATTTGAAATTGAATGCCCGCTGTCTGCGCTGTGTTTCTGTGATGCAGTGGACCAGGAGCTGAGCTTCCAGGACAAGTACCTTTTTTACCGCTTTCTGGACGATGAACAGGAGGATGCCAGTTTCCCCACTGAAGACGAAAGAAGGGAGAGCCAAGAGGAGCTACAGGATACCTTGCTGCTTCTCTCGCAGATCGGGCCTGATGCCCATCTGAGGATGATCCTGAGGAAACCGTAAGAATCTGAAGCAGAAATCAGTAAAGGAATAAAAAGGGTGATTGTTTCATGACTTCTTTCATCCTCTGTCTTTTAGTCCATCTGAAAGGACAGCAGATGATTTGGAGATCATTTATGAGGAGTTGCTTCATATTAAGGCCTTGTCACACCTCTCCACCACTGTGAGTACAGTTTACCTGCATTATGTGACCATATTATTCCTTCTCTTAATGCACAGATTGAAATTACGTCTTTCTCCTGGTGAAAAACATCCTATCTGGCTCATTAGACCTTTTGGTCCCATTTGAGTGGTGAGAGTGAAGAAAAATGATGCAAAGATGAAAACTTGCATATTAAACACTCATTCACTGATCCTGTCCAAGAACACTTTGACATACACGCTGGATAAGCAAGGCATCGAATATGTACTGCATAGCTTCAGGGGATTATTCTACAACTAAAATCATCCGTTTGTCTTGCTGCTCGGATTCAGCCAAACCAAAAAACAAGATGTGTGATGTGGGACTGCTGTGCGTTTCACTCACATTCAGTTTTAAAGAAATCTTTTAAACACCTGTGCTGCATTGAATAGCTGGAATATTGAGCTTTGCACACATACAGCATGCCTTTACTTTTATTTTGGCTGCTTTCTCTTAATGTTGATCCTCCTGATCTTCCTCTGCAGGTGAAGAGAGAGCTGGCCGGAGTGCTGATCTTTGAGTCCCATGCAAAGGCAGGAACAGTATGTAAGTAATCTGATAAAAATAGTAATGTGTAATAGATGCATTGTTAATGCTGATTAATGATTGAATTTGCTCAGCACACAATCAGTATTAATTCAACAAAGACAGCCTATATGAAATCAAATCTTCTCTCCCTTAGTGTTCAATCAGGGTGAGGAGGGCACATCCTGGTACATCATTTTAAAGGGCTCAGTCAATGTTGTCATCTATGGAAAAGTAGGTATTTTCCTCTTGTGAAATCATGTTAGTTCTAGAGACATCAAACTGATTATACTGCTTTGACCGGGACGTTGATTCATCACCCAGTAACTGATCAGTATGCCGTCCTGGACAGGGTGTTGTTTGCACTCTTCATGAAGGAGACGACTTTGGGAAGCTGGCGCTTGTCAACGACGCCCCCCGCGCCGCCTCCATTGTCCTGCGAGAGGACAACTGTCATTTCCTGAGAGTCGACAAGGAGGATTTTAACAGGATTTTGAGGGTTAGTGTCTGTTTAAACTCATCTCATTAAGAATGAAAAAGCACCAACACCCTCTGTTGGCAAAAATGTAGTAATGCATCCATAAAAGTTATTTAATGCATCTTTTGTGATCGTATGCCAGTCCCTTGCACCCACTAGCTCAATCATCCCACTAAATATGAAATATGTTGATAATGACCTCTTTCACTGATTTGAGGTTAATTAGGTGTGGATGTAAACTAACATCTGGGAGCTCTGACACGTCATAGATTTCCTGCTTGAAATAGAAAATAGAAGCAGAGATTTTTGTTCTAGATTAACTACGTAGTGATGGTCTGCAGATCTAAATGTGTTGAAATTACACATGTAGTGACTGATGGAGTGACATCACATGTTTTTTTAACATATTTTATTAAAGTTGTTAAACGTGTATGATTGATTTACAGAATATCATATTAGGTCTGCATTTGCTTCTTTGGACCACATTAAGTGTGTTAAACATGCTATTAAAAATGCTTAAACAAACAATTAAAAAATTGTACTGAAATTTAGTATTACAGATAGTTTATGCATGCTTATTGCATGGCTCAAAATAGTGCAATGATGGTTCTGAATATTAAATAAATAAAATAGGGAATGAATAATAAGAATAATAATAAGAAAAAAATTAATTAAAAAGCATATATTTATAGTAAAATATCCAAATATGTATAAAAATTTTAAATATCATATAATAACTGCTACTTTACATTTCTAAAGAATAACATTTTCACGAAGCTGCTTATGTGCTGGCAAACACGTCACTACTGTTTAACACTGTTTAAATGTGACCTCTGGCAGGTGACCTGGGTCGATCAGGTCACATGACTTTATAAACTGAAACAACATTTTCATAGGTCAGTGGTCTCCATAGTAAATGCATTACTGTGTTTGTGTTTATTTGTATGAAGGATGTGGAAGCCAACACTGTGCGACTGAAGGAGCACGGTCAGGACGTTCTGGTGTTAGAGAAGAGCCTCAGCAGCAGTCGAACATCTGTCCAGGGATCCTCTTCCTCTCATTACAAGTAAATATGCCCACTACTAATGCATGTATAGTACAGAGCTGCACTTTCTGGCAGTTGTCTGTTAAACGTGTATCCTTAACTGTCTTCATGTTACAATATAAATTAAGTTGCTGCTTTTATTTAACAGCAAGGAAAAATTGATACTTAAAAATATTTAAAATTGTTTCAGCCATCCTTTTTCTTTGAAGTAATAAGTATGAGCTTTAAAAAAATATATTTGTCCAATCACATGACTATCCCAGGTTGCTGCAGGAGTGATCCTTTCATGGTCACTTTTGAACTTGTGATTGCATTTGTGAACAATAGGAAAAATGCTGGACGCTAACAGTCAGTGTGACCAGCAGATAACATGCAGGCAGCACACACACAGCAATCCTGTGAGCTGCAGCCAACGAGCATTATCTTAATAGAGGCATCTGTCACTGCAGCACAGTTGCTAGAGAGACATATTAATGGTTATGATGGCCTTGCTCCTTGGGGGAAAAGAAGACCTGGCAAGTCACAATTACTTGTTTAGGGTCGCCCTCTAATCAACTCCACTCCTCAAACGTAAGAGTGTCAAGACTGTGTTCTCCCCCATGAGTGGGGAAGACATGGCGTTGCTTGTGTAGCTCCCTCTTGCCATGCTGTTATCAAGTAATGAAAACAACCGAGGCTGGATTGTGTTGATTCTCCTTCACGTAGAAGATGCCCCCTCATTTTTTTTTCTCCCCTCGGCTTTTCTCGTGGCACTTAGCCCAGACTCCCCTTCATCTTCAGCTGGCCAAGAACACTGATTGTAAATAGGATTGTTATCAAATGAAGCAATCACAGACACACGTTGAAGGAACAGTCGAGGGCCATAGCTGTGTCATCAAGCATTAAGAGCCAGTGTTTCTTGATTAGTGAAGGGTGTGTTTTATTCTGTTTTCCTGCAGATACAACGTAATGTCTGGGACGCCGGAGAAGATTTTGGAGCACCTCCTTGAAATGATGCGATTGGATTCTCAATTCACAGAGTCAGGTACTGCTCACCATGACACATCCCATGTGTCGAATTAGTGCCATCTAACACGGCCTGTCAATACGATGATCATTTATTGTGGAGAGTTGTCACCTATGCAACATTCTCCTCCGCCCTCGCCGGCTCTGTTTCTCTCCTCTGTCCTCTGCCGACTGTTCTGCACTGACCCGTTTGTTCTTGCCTATAATTAGCCACACATCACAGGGCTGATCTAATTACTCTCGCTTGCGTGGATACATATGGTTTTCATTCGTCGGCAGAGGTGACACAGATGGGGCCGCGAGGATCAAGGCCCGATGCTACTCTTTGATGCTCTCTTTCGCCGGCTACACAGGTGTTTGACATAAGCGTCTTTCTTTTTTTGTTACAGACTCAGCCTTAGATGACTTTGTGCTCATGCACTGTGTCTTCATACCCAACAGTCAGCTGTGTCCGGTGTTGATGTCCCAATATCCTTTCAGCATTATGTTCCCTAATTTTTTTTTAATGTTCTTTACCATTCCTGTGAACCTGAAAACATAGAGCTCACTGGTTTGCTGCAGCTACATTGTTTCAATCTTTAACTGCTGTGCAGCTACCATGCCCAGGCCTCGCAGGGATCTGAACAGGAGAAGCTGGACTACACGCTTAATAACAAGCGCAGGGTGATCCGGCTGGTGATGCACTGGGCTGCCGTAAATGGGGATCACCTGCAGGAAGAGGATGTCTCAGGGTTGTTTCTGGAGGTCAGCCTAAACATATATGAAGGTTGTTCTAACCTCTGATATAGGTACAGAATAGTAACAACAGCAGAACCGTCTGCAGCTCTGACCAAGACTTGTTCCAGTGTTTCAGATGTGTTCCTAATCAGTTTGCTTTACTTAAAAACAATTAATTGTTAATCATCTTCTTAGATTTTTTGATTCTTGATAATGATAAGATTTTGAAATGTTTTAATAAAGCGAAGGCGCCACACCACTAACCATAACTGATAAATTGATAGAAAATCAGATTTATGTCTGAGTGCATGATGTTCAAATCCAAGAATATCCACAGCTATAATGCTGACAGCCACTCTTTTGTTTCATGGTTGATATTAATTATTTACAACCGTAAACACATACCTTTGCAGTTATCCAAGGTGTTTGCACCTTCTGCTAAGTTTAATTGCACTCTCTCCTCACTATAAATAAACAGACACATGCCAGAAAATCAAAATCACTGAAACTGCAATTTTAAATGTGCATTTATTATAGATGTGAGCATTAGAATATACATATATATATATATAAACTCTTATTAAATGAAAGGACTTATGATTCTTGATGATATGCTAACTTAATGTGGTGTGGTGCTTGAGAAAAACTCAAGAAAAACTTTGTAATTGTATGTTAAAACGAGTTTTAATTAGTTCTTCTGAATCATTGTTTTGCTCAGAGCTTGCTGTGTTTTTCAGGAGTTTTTCATGGCAGTATCTAATGATGCCAAAGCCTTTCCTGCCCTCAGGGATCAACTAACAGAACTGGAAAGAATTGTAAAACGCAAGTAAGTCAGAGCTTTGTTTTTTTGTTTTTAGGTTTTGATATGGATGAAAGGTGCTGTATGTGGTTAGTGTTGAGAATTTAAAGGAGAAAGGCTCTTTAGATAACGATCAAACTTAACTAAAGAGTCATTAACTGTTTTTTTTAAATATTTTTATTTTATTCTTCAGTGCTGAAGATGCCAGATCCTCACAGAAAAAGGTATAAGACCGACTCTTTCTGTTCCAAATTAAAGTTCGTGTTTTTTCAAACGTCTGTGAACCTAAACTGTGAACCTAAAATTCCCACACAGCACAAAGTCCTGCTGCGGCATTTCAGTGTGGGAGAGGAGAAGCTTCAGAAACGTCAGCCCATCAGGAGTAACGATGAAAGTGAGTTGTGGATGAACATCCACTCTCCGGTTATCATAAACATGGGTAGCTGGGCTGCTGACTGTCACATTCAGCTATCTATTTGGAACTCTTTATCATGCAGTGGTAGCGATAGTCAGTATTTTGAAATGGCAACAGAGGTTCGCTACTCATAAACTCAAAGGATGTTTTCTGTTAAAGCATGATGATTTGGTACCGCTTGTTCTTCAGGTCATCTCTCCAATCTCCAAAAGACACACTGAAAATTGTTGTTCTTGGTTTGGTTTTTGTTCTTTGTACTGATTTAAATAATTTGTTTAGGGGCAGTTCAGTGGTGCAGTGATTAGCGCTGTCACCTCGCTCAGCTGGAGCCTTTCTGTGCAGAATATGCATGTGTGGGTGCTCCAGTTTCCTCCCACAGTCCAAAGAGATGCTTGTTAGGTTAATTGGTGACTTTAAATTAGTTGTGAGGATGAGGATGCGAGAGGTTGTGGGTGTCTCTCTCTCTATCTCTGTGGTAGCTGTGCTAATTTGGATAAATGTTTTGGTCTCTTTAAGGTCATTTAGTGTATTATAGTGACATCTTGCCTTTTTCTCTTCCTTGCTACTTTACCATGCCATCATTCCTTCTTGTTTACAGTCTTATTTTTGTTCTAATTCATTCCTTCAGTCCTGTTCAAAGTCTACTGCTGTGACCACACCTACATCACAATCCGGGTCCCTGTAGCCTCTTCAGTCAGGGAGGTTATCGGTGCTGTGGCTGACAAGCTGGGGTCAGCGGAGGACCTGCTCCTGGTCGGCCTCAGTTCGGCAGGAGGTGAGAGCAACGGCAGTTACTTGTCAAATGATTGGAGATGACAGAAGGTAGAGCTAAAGCTGGGTGATGTATTAAGTCTTTCTGGGTGATGTGTGACCTTTTGTGGTGAGTTTGGTGACGGTAATAGGCTGCTTTATTAGGGGCTAAAGAATGGCCTTGAAGTGGCCCAAGAAATAACCCGAGCTCAGTTTTCCTCATTACATTCAGCAGAAAGCTGTTGGTTCAAGTGGCTGCTCTTTATTGTACTGATATTTGTGTCCGCCAGAAAGTACTAATGCAGCTCTGCCTTCCTCTGAACTTGACCTGGACTTTCCTTACCAGTGGCAAGTCAACAAAGCTGAGGCTGCTCTTATTTGGAGTGGATTATCACAAGGCTCATAAAGAGCATCCAGAAAGTTTTCTGGATCCTAAAATCGATATATTTATTTTTATAGTCACAAATGTACACATAGTTATCCGCAATGAAAAAGCGAAGCAGGTTTTGAAGTTATTCTCCGGTGCCTGTGCAACTGTGTCGGATCCACTGATAAAAAAGAAAAGATACAAAAGGACAACTGTGTTAGAAGGAAAAAATAAAACTATGAGGTAGAGTGAGAGATGTCATCAAGGAACAGATCAAGCAAAGGACACAAGAAAATTATGCTGCATTGAAAGTACCCATGAGTGCAACATCCTCTATTATTCCTAAATGCTGGATTTAAAAAAATAATTCCCAACAATGTGTGGATGAAACTAGGCATCATGTCATTAATACCATCTCTGCTGTCAGAAACAGTGCTGTGGGGTTGTTTTCCTGCAGGGCATTGAGACTGGTCGGTATCAAGTAAACTTTTTTCCAGGCTACTCAGGATCTCAGGCTGGTAAAAGAACAATACCAAAGAAAAGCTCCCTTGGTCTCATTTATAAACTGTGCCTGCTAAAACATTCTCTTCCCCACGCATAAAATTATACTTAAAAAGAATGAATTTTGGAATAAATCAGACTTTTTTTTGAAAGTGAGCCAAGCCATATGTGAAATGGAGATTTTAAAAAGCATGACGGGACTTATCATAAAAGAAAGCAGACTATTCTTAGCAAACCTAGCTATATTAAAATGAACTATTTATTATTCACAAACCTCACTGCAAATTTACTATCTAATTGTATCAGTCCTTTCATTAATGTTAATAATATTTGTAGCCAGTGTTGGTGCTAAAATCACTGGAGCCTTGCATAATGATCTGCTTTTTTTCTGTGAACCGATGTGCTTTTGTGCTTCTTTTTGTTTGTAGTCTGACTGTTTATTTTTACCTCTGCCAGAGTCCTTTGGTATGAACTTCACAGCTCAACCTGCATTACTTTTTTATTCTTCAGTAGCCTTTCTTCTCTTTGTTAGGTACTGACACCAAAGACACCTTTTTTGTTTTGTTTTCTCCGTGTCTCTGGTTAGGCAAAATGCACATCTTCCCCTGTTTAGTAAATGGATGAAGATGAGAAAAAAAATAAGAGGTACATGTGGTAAATTTTAGGTTGACACTTATAGAAGTCTTTGTGTTAGAGCAGCTTCATAAATCGAATGAAAAGAATGTGTATGCACTTTTCGTCCTTTGTGCATACACAAAGTTGTAGTCATGAGTTTGAATGATTATTGTGCGTCTGATCTGTAAACTTAAACCCAACAGTGCATCTGGTGAGACCTGAAAGCAGCACTAATGATCTACAATCAGGCTGGTTGAGTTTGAATATTTCTGCCAAGAAAAATCTGGGCATGACTTTCAAAGAAAGACAGCCAGGTTTATGGGATCAGGTCTGTTAAGTTTGTAGGAACAAGTCCGCAGGCAATTGCTGCTGCTAGAGTGTTTAAAGGTGTTTTAACCAAGTAAGCTAGCAAATATGATGTTAGTCTTTTATTGTAATGCATTTGGATAACACTTCATGAAATATTGTGTCTAGATATATAAAAACAAATAAATAAATAAATAAGCACAATTTATCTGAATTTCAGGACCAGGAGCACACCTCATACATACACCTTCCAGTTCTTTGTCTGTTTGTAATATAGAGAGGGCCGGTACTACAAGCTGTTCTCGTTTCCATGCTTCCCTTTTTCAGTTCATTCACCTCTCATAAGAACATGCTTACAGTTCTGTCTGAGGCCTTCCCCAAACCGCAGCCTGAATTCATGCTCATGCCATCTGTTCCAAAGGTTTCGAAGCATGACTTCAATTCAAATTAGTAGTGCCAATTCGCAACAATAGTTATACTGTAAGGTAAAGCCTCTAGAATATTAGAAAGAAGACCGCTACTATGAACAAGCATTTGGCAACAGTGGGAAAGAAAAACGTCCTTTTAACAGCAAGAGACCTCTAGCAGATGCAGCCTCAGGGAGGGGCAGCCATTTATTATGACCAGATGAAGGTGAGAGGAAAAACAGGAGAGTAGAGGGATTCAGGACGAATGCACACTAGAAGGCAGCCATAAATTAATAATTACTAATTTTGGCTTGAACCTCTAAATTGTGGTCTATAAACATGGATGGTCAAGGGTCCAAATGTATGCAGTGTTTTCTATCAAATACACTACAGCAAAACTAAAGTTTTAATCACCTGGATATATATATTTTTTTAAAAAAGCATATGCAGACAAAGACAGGTTATTCTGGTTGTTTGATACTACACACAGCAGTAAATATCTAATGTCAGCATGGTAACATGTTTGCAAAGAAAATACTATTTGATTTCTGAAGTTTATACATGCCAAATAATTCTGATGGTATTAATTCTTTCATCATTTGGACAAATGTTTAAAAAAGAATTGGAGGAAATGTTTTGGGATCACATAAGGTGTGATCCTCATGCTAAAAATAGAAAAAAGTAACAACTAAATAGGGCACTGAGCACCTGCATGCCTATTCTAAAATCTTTTGTCAAGCCATCTAATGGTTATTATTTTTTAGTCTGAGTGAAAACGGTAGACAAATGGATGTTTTCCATTCATTTTTTTAACCTTTGTGTGTTTTGGTCTTCCTTTTGCAGAGAAAACCATCTTTAAGCCCAGTGATATGTCGGTGTTCTCCACACTCAGCATTAATGGACGGCTGTTTGTGTGTCGGAGGGACCAGTTGGATTCTTTGGTGTGTTACAAATTACATTTACATGAGAAACTCGCATATTAACATGTAGATCAGCTGCAGCTCCAACCCCAGCTGTACACTATATCAATATCACCCAACACGTCATGTGTATGAACTCATCTACACTCCCAACCAGTTGGCTTTAAACACTCCATCAAATTGATAGAAATGACAGTTAGTTTAGTTCAGCTTTCAGTCTCTGTTTTATAAATGTAATGTGTTTTTCATGCTTTGGAGACCACTTTACCTGAGCAGGAGGGTCCCTCTACAGGATCACTGGCCAGCTTTGAGTTAATGAGCTCTAAGGACGTGGCTTACCACATGACTTCCTATGACTGGGAACTTTTCCACTGTGTACATGAGGTATTCAACAGCAACTGAGTCTGATTAGAAGAGCTGAATATATATCTTCTTTTATTTATTGGTATGAAATATTCAGTTACTTCACTTGCTTATTTTACATGAAAATCAGTTGTTTTTCTTCTGCATCTTGCAGCTTGAACTCATCTATCACACATTTGGGAGACAATATGTGAAGAAAACCACTGTGAACCTGGACCTGTTCCTGAGGAGGTTCAATGAAATTCAGTTTTGGGTGATCACTGAGATGTGTTTGTGTCCTCAGCTGAGCAAGCGAGTACAGCTTCTTAAGAAGTTTATCAAGATCGCTGCCCAGTATGTGGATTTCATGTTCTAGTTCGGTTTGTAGTTTGGTTTATTTGCCACACTAATTTCATGTTTCCTGTTAAAGCTGCAAGGAGTACAGAAATCTGAATGCCTTCTTTGCTATCATTATGGGCTTAAGTAACCCGGCTGTTTGCAGACTGAGTCAGACATGGGAGGTGTGTATTTGTGCATTGTCCGTCTTTGGAAAACTATTAATTACTTAACTGCAAGAAAACTTTTGTCTGGTGTTTTTGTTTGCAGAAACTTCCCAGTAAATTCAAGAAGTTTTATGTGGAATTTGAAAACTTGATGGTAAGCTCCAAAGTAAAACATTTAAGATGAGCCACCTGATCAGAGTAAAATATGAGGTTAGTGTCCAGACTGTGATTGATCCACAGCATGACTGTCTCCACAGGATCCGTCCAGGAACCACAGGGCGTACCGGCTAACAGTAGCCAAACTGGAACCTCCCATCATTCCTTTCATGCCCCTGTTGATCAAAGGTTAGGCCAATTTATTGGATGACAGTTTATCATTTTGGCCGGTAGACCACAATTGTTTCGCTGCTGAATTGCTTCAACAGCTTTAACACTTTCCAATTGGTCGTTTTTTTTCTAGACATGACATTTACTCATGAGGGCAACAAAACATTTATCGACAGTTTGGTCAATTTTGAGAAAATGGTGAGGCTCTGCTGCGCATCTGTGAATCTTTTTTTTTTTTTTGTTCTTCTCAGCTAATTGGCGATATTTGCTGCTGATCATTGCTCTTTGTCTTGCAGCGGATGATAGCTAACACAGTGAAGATAGTGAGATACTGTAGAAGCCAGAGATTCAGTAAGTTTCAAATGTTTTCTTTTTTTTTTTGTACTAATTTCACATATGTTGCACTTAATACAACAAAAGGACACTTTATAAAATTAAACATAAAAATAAATAAACAAAATATATCTTGGAAGCACAATATCAAAAAACTGTATGATGAAGAAACAACAATAAAAGACTTTATGTCCTGTTAATTTGATGTCTTTTAGATACATCTTAGAATAAACCTGCAAGCTGGAAAAGAACTAATAGAAGAGGCCGTTCTTCTAGAAAGCACATTGGGAGAAATTCTGACAACGATTAGCTTCCCATAATTTTAATTTCTTATTTCCAAAATAAAAAATAAAGTAATATTCTCACAATAGGTCGAGAAAAGTACTCGTTTTGACTGACTGACAGCAAGCTGTAATATTGATCTTTTGAAGTTTAGTTGGAGTATATTATTGGTATCTCTGAACCTTTAACATCTATATTCAATCATTTATCCAGCAGTTTCCCATTAATCCCTTTATATTGATTGCCCGTATAGCTTAGATATACTCAATCAGCACAAATATTTTATTAAAAAGCACAAATATTTTGGGTTCCTATATGATGAACTTACAAATTCTTCTTGCATTTTTTTCCCTGACACTGCCCATCTTTTCAATTAAATCAGGTCCAGAGTCACCACTGCCAAGCAAGAACCACCCTGACGCTTGGACTTATATTCGTCAGCTTAACGTGATCGATAACCAAAGGATGCTTACTCAGCTCTCTCATGGACTTGAGCCCCGCAGGTCTTGAAATCCACTCAGGGACAGAAACATTACACGAAGACGCTACTCCATGACGTGATGTGCGCTCGCTTGGGATGAGTTTACTTAGTACAGGATTGAGGACCTGATGTTGTATCAGATAATGAGATGTTGTTTCAGAAGCCTGCCTTGTTAAGCTTTTTCTTACAGTAATTAGTGATATTTTAGCAGTAGTTGTTGGCGGGTGACGTACCTCCTCGTATCATTGTCGTACAGATATCACAACAAACAGCATGAAGAAATGAATGATGTTTGGAGGGATCTCATCAAACTGTGTAAGATTTTAGATGTAAACGCTATATGATGCTGACGCTTACAGGTCTCAGTATTCCTGATATTCAGCTGTTTCGTATATTTTGTATCAGACAATATTTATATATATTTAAGTTTTTAAGACTCTTGTGTTGTAAATTGTATACAGATATTTATTTTGACAAGCATGCAGAGGATTATGATTGTTTTATGTTTTTATTCATGTGAGCACATTTCTCTTTAAAGCCTGAGATATCATAAGTGTCTGAAAACCTTTTTGTGCGCTCTAAATAATAAAAAACCTTTAGATGTATTTGTTCAACTTTATATTTGTTATCTAGTATAAAGACAGTTTGGTCAGTATAGTGTCAGTGTATAAGCTGGAAATCAACCAAGACAAGTCATGAAACGTTTTCTTACATCTTGTTGAATTAGAGCAGCAGAGCAGCAGCAGAACAGGTCAGCTGATCACAGTCTGTACATTATGAAAATCTACTGGAGCACACAATAGAAATGACTGTGAGCTGTTCAAATCATTGTCGATATCTACGGAGGAGGTCAGGAGAGTGGTGCGTGCTGTGAGTGTCTGCAGCCATTTGTAAAACATGGTGGAAGCGCTGCAATAATTTGGAGCTTCATTTCAGCCAGTGGTGTTGGACCTCTTGTCAGAAATAATGAAAATATGAACACAAATGTACCATCAGATTTTGATCCACCATGCAATACCATCTGGACACCTCTGACTGGCTTCATTTTTCAGCATGACAATCATCCCAAAAGGCCTATGCAGTAAAAAAAAACCAAACAAAACAAAATCCAAAAGAGACATGGATAACAAAACAATGGAGTATTATCACTCATGGACTGGCCTCCCCAGACCCCGAACCTTAACATCACTGAAGCAACATGGGATCTTAACAGACAACAGAACAAAAGTCAGCCAACATCCAAAGACGAGCTTTGAATGGCTATCAAGAAATGTCCATATTCCCGAAGACTACCTAAAGAAATTACAAGATGTTTACCTAAGAGAGTTCCGGCTGTGTTGAAGAATAAAGGTGGTCATACCAGATATTGACTTTCAAGCTAATTTGAATGGTATAAAGAAATAAAACAAAAATATAAAAAAATGGCAGACTGACAGACTGCTTTCTATCTTGTAAATCAGGTTCTGCTTTAAGAAATAGTAATTTATTAGTGCTTCTAAACTTCTAGTGTATATTTGTTTAGTTAAGAGTTGGTTTAAATGACTTTTTTCTGAAAGCTTAAGCTGAAAATATTTGGGGCAGCAAGAAGGAATTAAATGTAAATTAATTCTTATCTCAGGTTTAGCTTTGAGTGATTTGGCGTGTCTGATCAAACATTAATCATCATCACTTCCATTCATTTCTAGAAGTGCATTAAACATTTTTTATTGTTGACTTATACTGTTGACCTGTGAATTGTGTCAACAGTGAAGCAGATGGTTGCTTTATATTTTCCATTCGCCACTACATGAGGAAAGAATGAGTCATTGACAGCTTTTAAGTTTGCAGAAATGTATTACCTAGATTTAATATGCGATGAATAGAGAATCAGTGAATCTGATATCTCACAGTGTTTCTGACGTCACAGTGGAGACTGGAGAAGTACTCATATTCTTCCTCCTAGAGCAGGGGTGTCGAACTCCAGGCCTTGGGGACTGGTGTCCTGCATGTTTTAGATCTCACCCTGGGTTAACACACCTGAATCAAATGATTAGTTCATTTTCAGGCCTCTGGAGAACTTCAAGACATGTTGAGGAGGTCATTTAGCCATTTAAATCAGCTGTGTTGGATCAAGGACACATCTAAAACCTGCAGGACACCGGCCCTCGAGGCCTGGACTTTGACACCCCTGTCCTAAAGCATGTTGTAAATGTACAGTTAAATTTATAAGCTGTATTATTGTTATTAGTGAGGAAGCTCTGATGCTGCTCTGATGTAGCTGGCCAAAGGCTTCCTGATGGTAAACACTTATAGACAGTTGGGGTACATGTGTACGCAATAAATCACAACCTTGAACTCATCTGATATTTTGTTTATAAAGTCTCGATGTGGAGCAACATTAGTTCTTGTGGAGTCAAAAGTAAATTGAAGTGAATGAAAAATTGTTTTATATAAATTGTACTTTATTCTTAAATGCTTTATTAAGATGAAAAATACTTTTGAAGGGTTTTTGAGTGATATATTTCTGTATTAGTTCATATAGATAGTACAGTACATTTGAATGATTCCTTTGCTTTACGTGGTCTTATTGATTAAGCAATCCACATTGTCATGAGTTTACATGGATTAAATGAGTGGTTGGTGATCTTATTGATTTCCCACCAAGCTTCCTGAGTTGCTGAAATGATGAAGGTCTTACAGCAATTATGTTTTTTGATGGATTGGAACATGAGTATAGGTCTTTAATAGAGAGAAATCCACAGAATGACTTTTCGATTTCAAGTCAAGGATCTTGTTGCATATCTGAATATATCAATTTTATTACGTCGTGTCATCACCCAAAAAAAACAAAAAAAACAATCTGACAATCCAATGAAAAGATTTAACACTGCAGACTGATCTAAGCTTTTGCACATATACAAATACATCTGAAAACATCTGTGATGAACAACTGCATAGTGCAGTTAATCCAAGATCACATTATGCATAGATCACATATTAACAATTGTAGAATGTACCTCGTGGGCTTCAAGGATACAAATGTTCCCAAATTTCTAGTAAATTTCCACTTTCCAGATTTCTGAGTCACAGCTTTGCACTGCGCTCACCTTTTTGCCTTCTATCAGTCATCTTCACCTATAATAACAACCTAACCAAAGGGACAACCCCATTAAAAAAGGCCCCACCCAGGCTGACCAGGAGGTTTCATTTCAGAACCTGGTTGCTGTGAGAAGTCACACACCTCATCAACCCTTAACTTTCTTGACAGTGGCAAGTCTTTGGGTGTAGCCTGGGTTTAATTGCTAATTGTGTATACCTGAAAAGGTGTTGACAAAGACATTTCTTAGACTTGATTTGGACTGTCAATGCCTTTTAGAGCATTTAGAGTGGTCTCATCCAGATAATGTCTTTTTCAGGGAAACCCTTCCATATTTCAGTGAGACAATGCTAAACTACACACTTTTATTACAACAGCATGGCTTTAGAAGAATGTGGTTGCTGAAGTGGCCTACCAGACCTTTCTACAACTCTAAACATTTGGCAAAGAAGACCCAGAGCAATTAAGCAGCTAGAATCTTATATAAGGCAAGAAAGGGACATTCCTCTCGCAGAAGTCCAGCTGATCGCTCTTTTCAGATGTTCATAGGCTTTTGTCCTGATGTATGCTCAATCATCCAGGTAAGTAAATCCCAAAAGGTTGATTCTGTTCATCTGGACGTAGTGTTTTCAATGGGAGAAAGGTTTCGTCACTCATCTAAGTTCATAGGCTATTGTTATACAAAGAGGACATACTGTGCATTATTAAGCACGACCCTGTCCAAACCTTTTTGAAATGTGTTGCTGCCTAGAAATGGCCTTACTTTTTCCTGAAAATTGTAATTTTCTCATTAGAAACATGTATGATTATATGATTTCTATTATTCTATTGTGTATAAAATATCAGTTTCTGATACTGCAAATCATCACATTATTTTTTATTTACATTTTTCACATTTAAAAAAGAAATTGCGGTTTTAAAAGACATTTTAAAACATTTTTACAGAATCAAATTAATTAAAACTATTTTGTTTTTAGTGTACCACTGAGCTGCCCAGTAAGAGCTTGTTAATGAGAAAGAAATAACTGTAATATCCATCACCACGCACAATGTAGGCGTTCGTGCTCGTGTCCAGCAGGGGGAGCTGTTGCCATCAGTATCAAAAGCTGGATGCTGTCCAGTTCAGCTGGCTGAAAGTTGTGCAACCAGTGAAACCACACTGGATCGGGGAAATCAAGCGACGTCACGTGAGATTTCCCGGAACTATCCTTTCTTTCGCAAAGTTTGTCTTGTGCCCGGTGCTACCTGCGTGGAGGAACAGCCGCTCCGGAGCGCCAGCCTTCACACTGAATGTCGGTATGTGTGTTTCGATAATGTTCACCAGTTATCCAATTAGTCTCAATGAGCAGTTTCGACATAGGCTCACTGTCCAGCAGATTAAATATAATGCGAGTCTTGTTTGATATTAAACACACATTCGTGCAGATGTGTTGATGCGGGCTGTTGAGTGTGACGTGGTGCATTAATATAAGACTGTTAAAAACATGTAATAATAACAAAGTAATACCGCTTTAAGTTTACTCCTAATGTTGCTCATACTGTATCTAGTTGTTGTTGAATGTTTTGAGCAGTGAGTTAACCCTCACTCAGGTACTGCATCTCATACACAGCATAGTAACTGAGTAGGGGTTAGATTGGTTAAGATTGTAACATCTGCATATAACCACACTTTTAGCTGTGAAGATGTGACACAAAAGCTGACCTTGCTGTCTCAGTGATTAATTCATCATTTAGTTGAGATTACAGTGACTACCTGTGGTTTGACATATGGCTGTCAGGCCTTATTGTTGCGGCGCTTGCAGTCGTGTTTGCTATTAAGTGAGAAACTGCCAGCGATGACTGCAGGAGTACTCCCGTATCCCTGTAACCCTGGCTTCTTGAGTGGTCAGACAATACTTGGGGGGCTGGTCCACTGAGCAAATTGCTGCCAGGCTAAGTATAGCATGAATACAAGTAAATCAGCAGAGAGCAATGGCTCCCCTCTGTGACAATGGTGGCATTTCCCGTTGTGATGGATAGTAATCCCAATGAGGACCCAGGTAACAGCCTTTTAAAAGCCGTAATTGCTCAGCTGTAAATGGGAAACCTATGAACAATAGCAATGCTATAATTTCCTGTAATGATGGAATTATTTCTTTACAAGATGCTTTTATGTCGCTACAGACAAACAAAAGGATATGATAATAAATCTGTGTGGTGTCCGGTTTGGAAGCATTATACCACTAACCCTGGCTTACACACACATCATCATGTTTGGCCTCAACACAAGCAAGAAGAGCTCATCTTTTCTGTTAAATAGAGAAAGAGAATATGTGGATCACTCAAGGTGTTTTTGTCTTGAAAGAAAAGAAGCTTTTATTGTCAAAATTGTATGATCTCCCAGCTTGTTGTCCTACTTGAACCAAACCTGCTGGAGTAATCTGCGACTTTAGCTGCATGATCCCAGCATACCAGACATGCCTTTGTCCTTATACAAGCAGAGTCTGGACCCTGAGTCCATTGCTTACTGGTACTGATGTGGAGGACTGTATGTGTAAAAGTGGAAGAGACAGGGGATGGTAGTTTAAAATGAGCGATATCACCCTGCTATGCTCAATCAACCAATGGCAAAGCAGCCTCAAACCTGCAGCCACACTCACAAATGGTGTTTGACAGTGAAGCTTCTCTTTGATGGATTAAGTTTGTTTTACCGCAAAGGATTTTGTTGTGAACCCAACTTCCTTCCTTTCCCGTAATCCCCCTCGCTCTTTTAGGAGCTGACTTGGAACTGAGTGCCATTATGAGATGATGTCTCCCAGCTCGTCTTTCGTGCAAGTCAATTTCGATGACATCCACTTCTTCGAAAACTGTGGTGGCGGCAGCTTTGGAAGTGTGTACCGGGCCAAGTGGATTTCCCAGGACAAAGAGGTGGCGGTGAAAAAACTGCTCAAGATTGAAAATGAGGTAAGAATCTTAATTAC